GTGTATATATATGTATATACACATGCATATATAAAAGAAACCCAACAGTATTCATGAAGTTCATGTAATGTCATCAGTGCATTTGAAAATCTTAAGGGTTTGGGCACTCACCAAAATCCCACAGGTAAGTTATGTGCAATTTTCGTAGGAATTTTTCGACCTAAACTTAATATGGACCAAATCGTTGGGAAAAGAATTGGTTTCAAGCAGGAAATAAAGGAGAAGAAAATCATTAAATTTCATTATGTTAGGATCTTTAAATCGAACTCACATGCTTGGGGAATTCCAATTTATTGTGAGTCTCCAGATGATTGTGAGTCCACCATCAGATGTGGTTATAATCACCTGTCATTTTATTAAAATTATTTAATTTTAGTTAGTTTAATTATTAAAAATAATTATTAATTATTAATTATTATTTAACATATTAAAATTAATTTATAAATTAATATTTTCACATATTATAATTAATTGTTAAAAAAAACTATAAATAAATCAAATATCAATTAAATTAAACAACTTTTAAGTGATCATAACAAAATGATAAATTACTATAACTACACCCCCTGCCATCCAATCAGAAAACAGCATATCACCCATGTTTAAGTCTTAAAGCACCATATCTTCATTAAAAAAAATTGAAATACATTAAAATAAAAGTTACTAGCTACCCTGAACATTAACGTTGTAATCAATAATATATATATATACATATATATATTGGCTGTCTAGCATTATAATTTCAATTGAACAAGAACCACTGTTTCTGCTCTGGTAGCTACATAAGATAATTAAATGCAGCCATCCAGCCAATGTGTCTGCCATGACCTGCTCATTACAAAAGGAAAATTATACTCAAGATACAAATAGTGGTTGGGAAATTATGACCAATGTAGGAAGGGAAATCTATAGTGCTCCAAAAAAGCTTGCAAGAATTGAGATAAGGTTGATCTTGCCCATGTGAACTTTTAAGAGACTTTGTAGTTGAGTAATAACTTCTGAGAGATAGTAGCAGTAGTGATAATTTAAGAAAAACGGGTGAAAAGGAAGAGAAACAGTAGTTCATATTTACTTTACTATAATGGGTATGAATCATCCATCACAAGCCCCTCTAGCCGAGCCACAAAGTTATCTGTTAAAAGGATCTGGTTCCTTAATTCTCCATTTTCCATTCTCAAAGTTCCATTTTCTTTCTTCAACTCCAAATTTTCCGCTTCTAATTCCTGAATTCTCTTAATCAACTCGTTTCCCTGAAGAATGATCATGCGATCAAGTTCATTCAAATCAATCATGAGGAAAGAAATAGAAGACTTTTTTTTTTTTTCTTGGATCGGCAATAGAAGACAGTAAATAAGATAATAGAGTATATAACTTACATTGCCTATGGTAAAGTTCATGGATGACTTCTGGGATCGTGATGAGAGCTCCAAATCCACCTTATGTAATGCTGAACCACAAGATGTTGGCAAATACCCATTGGACTCCGTTTTCCCCCCTGGCAAATGTTGGGATGCAAGTGGCTGTTGCACATGGACCCCTGCTTCTTCTTGTTGTTGTACCAAGTTCATGGATGAGTTCTGGGATTGTGATGAGAGCTCTAAATCCACCTTATGTAATGCTGAACAACGTAATGGAGACAAATACCCAATGCACTCCTTTTTCACCTCTGGCAAATGTTGGGATGCAAGTGGTTGTTGCACAAGGACCTCTGCTGCTTCTTGTTCTTGTACTTCACTGGCATTGTTCACATTTGATTCATCTTGCAGTCCATCCTTTAACAGTAAAGAACTCTGTAAGTTGCTGATTTGTAGACTAAGAATCAGGTATCAGGGAAGTAGTTAAAAAGCAAGAAACTCACATCATTAACTGAATCCCCAGTTGCCAAGTACTCGAAACCAGAACTGTCCTCCCTCTCATTTTGTGCCTCTAACAATTCTTTGATTATGTCAAATTTCAACTCCTCAGAAGTTGGTTTCAGCTCCCAAATTATCTGACAGAGTAATGAATAAGTTTAGCACCCAAATGAGAGAAAACATAACTTCATAGCTTGTGATCTAAGCACCTGATGTTCTTGCAATTCCTTAAACTGTGAGGTGAACCATTGCCTTTGATGGGACCTAACGTTTTCCCATCTGCATGCACGGGGGAAAGTCAAAGAGCTTTCAACTAGAGCCGGCCTGGCCAAATCAATGTGCTCATAAGACCATACCTATTCATGATGAGATAAGATAACATGAGTTGAGAATTATTAACCTAAGAAATCCCTCATGTTAATGAGACATACACATACCCCACATTCCACAAACTGATGCATAAAACAATTTTGCACACCCTAGACAATGGTAATAACATATAACGACTGGAACTTTGCAAGCTTTACTTAAATGAATGCAAAACCTGATAATTTGTTAACTCATTAATCCCTCAAAATTACAGGAACTTACCTGGAGAAGTATAAGACAACCTCCAATATACTGAACACTGGTTTCCTTTCTTTTGTTCAACCACATGATTAAATCCTCAAGCACGGCTGCACCCCACGAAAATCGACCAATATTGTCCAAATCATCAAGTAAAGAAAGGTAACGTGAATCCACCTTCCCACTTGTATTCGGGAAAAGAATCGTGCCAATCATAAAAAGTATAAAGGTCCTAATAAAATCCTCATTAACCTCATCCCCAATAGACTCAAGCCTGCTCTCCAGTGCCGAGACCGCAATCTTCCTCTTCCACAATGCAGCACCATACTCTCTTTCCAACTCCGAAAAGGGTTCATCCTCCTTGAGAATTAAAGGATCCCCAACCATTCGCAGCCCCAAAATCAAAGCAACATCCACCGAAGTAATTTTAAGCATTCCAGGAACCAGCACAAAAGCACTCTCCTCACAACTCCAACTCTCCATCAATTCAACGAGCAAATTCTTACTCAGCATCTGATTTGTCAGCAGAAGCAAATTCCCAAAACCCAATTTCTTAATCACATTTCTCTGCTCATCCGTGAGCTTCTCCACACGCTTCAAGAAAGATGGCAACGAAAATCTCGTACTAAAATTCCCAGTCTGCACAAAAAATTTTATGTTGCAATCCTTAAATTGAAAAATAACAGTAAATTAATAGAAAAAAATTACTAAAATATCTGTTTCACTCAACATTTCGAAAAGACCTTTACTGCAGCAGAAGTTAAAAGTTAAATCAAAAGCAATTCTATAAAAAGTACTTCTGATTTTTTTCAAAAAAAAAAAAGCAATTCTACAGTAGCTTTCTTTTGTTGTCAACTATTGAAACTCATGATTTCAGTACTTGTACAAAAGATCAATCAAAACAGCATTCTGATAATTGCAGCTAATCCAAACAGGCTCTAATTTGATATCTACCAACAAATGACACCATAAAATCAAGAAAATCAAAGACTAGAATGAACAATTTCTTCCATTCTTACTCTAGAGTGAGGAATTCGATATCGCCATTTTTACGAGGAATAATTTTTTGCAGAATTCATAAACAGTAAAATCAGCAAAACCATTCTTTTTCATTTCTGCAAATAGGTGTATTTCAAATTTACAGAAAACAAAATGTGCAAAAAAATTGGGCACAGAATACAGATGCGAATAATTCAAAATAAAAGGGAGAGAGAAAAAAAAAATACCGGATTTCTACTTTCTTCTACTAATAATCCGATCGAAGATTTCCTCGTCGATCTCCTCATTAGGGATTAGATGATTTAATTACAGCAGAATGGGATAACAGAGAGGGAAAATGGCAGAGATCAAGGGGAAGACGAGAGGAATTCTGAAAAAAAAATGGTGAATTTTGGATATGGTGGAGGAGAGTAGAGGAGAAGGATAAGTATTCGGGGAAGCTTACAGGGGAAGCGTTTTTAAAGATGTGTAGGCGGGAAACAGTGAAACAATGCCAATGAGATGGAATAGATTGCGGCACGTAGGGTTGAGCGCGTGCGTGTGCTTGTATCTGGCT